TCTATTCTATATAAGAAAAAAACTCGTAGTCTTGAGCGCAAATGGAGAAAAACTAACTTGGAAGTTTTTAGAATTGCGTGGAAAAACAGTATGTCCAGCTATAGACAGGCTCTAAAAGCTGCCAGGGCCGAGCATATCCACAAACTCATAGAAAATAACCAAAACAATCCTAGGTTTTTATTTAGCACAGTGGCTAGATTAACAAATAACCAGACGCCGCCCGATCTAAATATTCCCTCACAGTTTAATAGTAATGACTTTATGAATTTCTTCACTGATAAAATAGATAACATCAGAAATACAATAGCAAATGTAGATTCTACAGCGTATAATACTTCAGCTTCATTCATCGCACCAAAAGATAAACTGCAGTGCTTTACAACTATAGGACAGGAAGAGCTAAATAAACTTATCACTGCATCTAAACCAACAACATGCCTGTTAGATCCTGTACCCACTAAATTACTGAAAGAGTTGTTACCTGTAGCAGAAGAACCGCTTCTCAATATTATTAACTCATCGTTGTCTTTAGGTCACGTCCCAAAACCATTCAAGCTGGCGGTTATTAAGCCTCTTATTAAGAAACCACAACTAGATCCTAGTGAACTGGCAAATTACATGCTGTTCAGTTGCTTTGACACAATCTGTATTGTTAAAAGCGCTATATAAATAAAGGTGACTTGACTTGACTTGACTATTCATACAGTTTGACAGCACTTTGGGGAGATTTGTGGGGTTTAATGAGTATGGAATGAAACTAGCAGAGTTCTGGAACAATGGCACCTTTGTGCATGAAGAAAGAGATATTGTGGACTGGTTCTGCAAAGGTAATGCTGAAATCTTTGACTCCAGTATCAGTGATAAATCAGGTAAGTGGCACAAGTCTTTTCTCTCATTTTTGCTGTCAACATGTAGAACAAAAGCTAGTATCTAATAATAATTTAACATAATGTCTTAATGTCACCAGAAATGGTAAGCAGTAGCATTTCAAAATGTAAGAACTGAATTTGAATAACGTATTGTGAATAAAGACAAAAAGATTTTTATACTGTACAAACTGTATATTGTCTCCCTTAAACCTACCCATTACAGAAACATTTTACAAAAACATCACTGAGTATGATTTGTAAGCTGTTTGCCCTTATGGGGACCAACAGATGTCCCCAAAAGGAGAATGATTTCAGATATTGCCATCTTTGTGGGGACATTTTGTCCCCA